GAGCAAAATTTTATTTTCAAACAGGTGGCAATTCTTAAAAAAGTAGCCTATCTTCCAGTCTAGGTCATAAGCTATCTGTGTGCAAACTTTCATTCATATCAGTTCAGTCATTTACGCGTATTAATTTAATTAATCTTTCCTAATACGTGATAACTCTTAAAATAGTAGCCCATTTTCCAACATACGCCATAAGCTAGCTGTGCGAAATGTCATGCAAATCTGTTCAGTCGTTTCCGCGTATTAATTTAATTTAACTTTTTTAGCAGGTGGTAACTCTTAAAAAAAGTAGCCTATTTTCCACTGTAGGTCATAAGCTAGCTGCTTGCAAAATTTTATGCAAATCCGTTCAGACTTTTCCGCGTATTAATTTAATTTAACTTTTTTAGCAGGTGGTAACTCTTAAAAAAGTAGCCTATTTTCCAACTTAGCTCATAAGCTATCTGTGTGAAAACTTCCATGCAAATCAGTTCATTAATTTCCGCGTATTAATTAAATTAAACATTTCTAACAGGTGGCAACTCTTCCAAAAAATTAGCCTGTTTCCCACTGTAGGCCATAAGATATCTGCTTGCAAAATTTCATGCAAATCCATTCAGTCGTTTCCGCGTATTAATTTAATGAAACTTTTTAACAGGTGGCAACTCTTAAGAAAAGTAGCCTATTTCCCAATCTAGGTCATAAGCTATGTGTGTGCAAATTTTCATGCAAATCCATTCTGTCGTTCCCGCGTATTAAATAAATTGAACTTTTTTAACAGGTGGCAACTCATAAAGGAAATAGCCTATTAACCAATCTGCCCCATAAGCTATCTGCTTACAAAATTTCATGCAAATCCGTTCAGTCGTTTCCGCGAGATGATTTTCCAAACATCCAAACATACAAACTTTCACATTTATAATATTAGTAAGAAGTAAAATAAGATTGCTTGGCAGCGGCAGAGCTGAAATGCGCAATGAGTTCGTCCATACATACATATATATGTATACATATATATATGTACACATCCATACGTGCATTCAAACATACGCCCAGCAAGAACACTACTAGTTAAATCCCTCATCATGTCACCGGTATATTAGGCAGTCCGTTTATAGAAATATTAGGTAGTCTTTGAGGCCGAGTTTCTAATAGCTTCTTTATGCTGATTGGAAAAACCTACTAGAAACTCTTGTGGACATGTGAGTTTTCATCCCCTTCTGGCACATAGCCATTTAACCCCCACGGAAAGTATAGCGTACCTGCTCACACATATTAAGACTCGCATTTTTTTTTTTTTAATTTAGTAGTTAAAATCTTGGATAATAAAGGGATGAAATACCCATAACAGCTAACGAAAGTTTTCGTTATTCGTTGTATAGAATTTTGGTAGCCATATCGTATAAAAGAAATATGACTGTTGGGTATATCAATGGTTAAATACCTGAAACAGCTAACGAAATTTTCCGCTAAACAATTGGTAGAACTGAGTTAGACTTACCATATAATCCAGTTAGGACTACTGATATTTGACTAATTAAATACCTGAAACAACTAACGAAAATCTCTGTTATACATATTGAACAATTTAGTTACCAAAAATCGAAAATGCGTAAAATTTACATTTTAAATGTGTTTTAATGTACTAAAATAAAAATGTTGACGTCGAGCATAACACGAAACAATAAAAGAAAGGTAATTTAAAACACAACTCCAATCACATTTCAAACAAATTGAATCGTTTAAATGTATACTTGTAATAAAAATAAATAAAAAATAGAACGTGGTCCAAACTTATGTACTAACAAACATAAAAAAATATTCCGACAAATTGATAACCTCGTCCTTGTTTTGAAGTCGGTTAAAAACAAGTTCCAAGCAATTAAATTATTAAATTAAGCGGAGAAATGTGTATAAAACTTTTATAGTTCGCAACTTTAACCTCTATAGCATTCAAAATTTGTGAGGATAGCTTATGACCTACAATGGAAAATAGGCTAATTTTTTGGAAGAGTTGCCACCTTTTAAAAAGTTTAATTAAAGTAATACGCGGAAACGACTGAACGCATTTGCATGAAGTTTTGCGCATAGATAGCTTATGACATTGGTTGGAAAGTGTTAAAAAATGTTTAATTCAATAATACGCGGAAATAAGTGAACTGATTTGCATGGAAGTTTTCACACAGGTAGCTTATGAGCTAGGTTGAAAAAAATAATATAAAAAAAAACTTTTTAATATACAACGCTTTTATAAATGGACTAAAAAGTAGAAAATAATATTTCTCAGTCCCATAGAATTTGTTTTGATAACTTTTGATTTTGAAATTTTAGCAAAAGTCGTTATAACCAATTTATGAGATTGAAAATGAAAAGCGTGGGGCGCATATAATAGCCACCTGAATTGATATGAAGGGTAATATATGATCATATGTATGTGGATATATGAATAACGACCGCTTAAAATCGATCTCAAATTTGTACTTTCGCTGAAGAAATTTTAGGTCTATGTTATGTAGTTTGCCTATTGTCAATTAAATATAATGCTTTGTATTGCATGCATGACGACTGAACGGATTTGCATGAAATTTTGTACACAGATAGCTTATGGGCCAGATTGGTTAATAGGCTATTTCCTTTATGAGTTGCCACCTGTTAAAAAAGTTTAATTTATTTAATATGCGGGAACGACTGAATGGATTTGCATGAAAATTTGCACACAGATAGCTTATGCCCTACAGTGGGAAATAGGATAATTTTTTGGAAGAGTTGCCACCTGGTAAAAAAGTTTAATTAAATGAATACGCGGAAACGACTGAACAGATTTGCATGACATTGCGCACAGAGATAGCTTATGACCTATGTTGGAAAATGGGCTACTATTTTAAGAGTTGTCACGTATCAGAAAAGTTTAATTAAATTAATACGCTTAAATAACTGAACTGATTTCCATGAAAGTTTGCACACAGATAGCTTATGACCTAGGTTGGAAAATAGGCTACTTTTTTAAGAATTGCCACCTGTTTGAAAATGAAATTTTGCTCAAAGATGGTTTATGACCTGGATTGACAAATGGGCTACTTCCTTAACCGGTTTTCCGATCAGAACGAAATTTAGTACACTTACTACGGATTTCGGAGGGTCCGATAAGTCCGATAACTCAAGGCCCCTCCCATACAAATTGGAGTTTTCATATTACATACATATCTCTGGAAGTATTTGTGGGAGAGAACTGGAACTTGGTATAGTGATATGTATGTGAAATCAATGTTGGCATTAATCCATTGATGTTTTAATCAGTTAGTTAATTCGATTAAATTCAATCTGATTACAGTTAATCACGATTACTAACTAGGTTTGTAAAAGTTCCCAGTTTATGTATAATTTTTTTATATTATGTGATTTTTATAAGCGTAAAACACAAAATAGTTACTATAGCTGGTGTTTGGTTTCAAATTCGGACAAACCAGACAACTTAATCAGATTTTATTTTTAGTTGGATTAACGATTAATGTTTAGAAATAATTAAACGTAATCGCGACCAGCGATTAACGATTAAAAAAATGTTATCATTAATCGTACAGTTGATTACGACTAATTAATTTTCATCGTCAAACGCGATTAACATTTTAATCGTTAATTTTTAATCGTTAATCAGATTAACATTTTGCCGACACTGCGTGAAATCGTGTTCATATTAACGGAGAAAAATTGACGTTTTTGGAACAGAGGCGTAGCACCTCCCGTACTGACTGAATGTTTCATATTGTAATGTTTGGTCATATTCAAATGTTTGGGGTAAAGTACTCAAGCTTGGTATGGAAATACATATGTATGTGAGACTAATACCATACTTGTGAACAAAAATGAGAGTTATTGGAAAAGGTAGTGTGGCAACTCCCATGCAAATTGATTTTTCTATGCTGCATATCTCTGGAGGTGTTTATTGCAGAGGACTGGAACTTGGCACAGAGATGTGTATACAAAATTAATTCCATACTCATGGAGAAAAATTTGCGTTATTCGAAAATGGGACATGGTTCCTCCCGTACAAATTTACTGTTTTATACTGCATATCTCTAGAGGTGTTCATGGTAGAGTATAGGGACTTAGTACTGGGGTATGTAAAATCAATTCTAAATTCATGGAAGATTAGGGTTATAAGAAAAAGGGGCGTGGCACTTCCAGTTCAAATTTACTTTTTCTTGCCACATATCCCTGGAAGTGTTTGTGGAAGAATACTGGAACTTGGTATGGAGTTGTGTATACAAAATGTATCAATTGCTCATGGGCAGAGATGGGCACTACCACAAACAAGCGTGAGCTAAAAATGAGAATGTATTAGTGTGTCTGATTCATTTCGCATGGTCGCGTTCTCATCGTTACGCTCTCGTTTCTACACGTACACAGGATACTTACGCTCTTTTAGCACCTGCTAAGTCTCTGCCCATGCCTGCTCATGGGGAAAAATGTGAGTTATTAAAAGGAGGCATGTCGTCTCCCATACATACTCTCTGGAAGTATTTTAAATTTGTTATGGAGATTTATTTTATAAGTGCCGTACTGACAGAATAAATTTCATTTAATGGAAACGGGAGAGCCGGGTTCGGTCTTATAATCTAAAGCTCTTTTAAGGCATTTGCTACAGTAATGAGAAGTGGTATTTTATCAATGCCAGGTTACTAAATTTGAGTTGGAAATATTAGAACCCGTCGTGGCACCTCCAAGAATGTTACACGTTCACGCGTCGTATACCTGGAACCATTTTAAGGTAAACTTAGAGGGATTGATATCTTTCGTATGCCTAGCGCGCAGACGAGATTTTATAATTTCATAGTTTTAAACGGCCTAAATACCTTAACTCACTTAGAAAATAACGAGCTATAATGAAATGGGCACAGAATTAAAATATACCATCATTAAATTATATAAGCTAAGGGTATAAGCTAGTATACATATATATATATTCAAGATAATAATTAAATTTTTGTATATCTATTTTACTTTTTGCTGACTCAGGCGATTTTTTTGTTTATGCCGATTATGGGCCAAATCAATTGACTTCTTAACGTTTTTCTCAAAATTCATTCGGCCCTCGCACTTAAAAAGAATTAAAAATAAGGTGAGCTCGCCAGATAAAAAAGTTTTTAGATTTTTGTTTGTACCAAATAAAAGTTCGTCCACCACTTTCAAACAGATTGCGGATGACGTCGTTGACACTTCCGGAAGCCCCTTTGACCTTATACATATATGTTATCTAATATGAACAAAAATAGTTGTTAGATAGGGGTCACTTTTATATCTTTACTTGTAGTAAATTACCATTGCTTGCTTGAATTCGGGGTTTGTTAGACTTTGTTCCACTTCTGAGGAGATGCCAATATCGCCATTGTGAAGTTTAGCGGAAATTTCTTCCAAATGTTTGTCCTCGATTTCTCCGGTAATTTGGCTAACGGACTGCTGTACCTTCCTGAGCATCACCTTGCACTCCCTAATAAGCTGGTTCTGGGCCATCATATCGCTGCGTTGGACAACCTGTTGAAATGATAAACTCAGTATTATTAGCAAATAAGTATTCAGTATAAACAGTAAATAAATAAACAGTATTCTTTGGATACAAGCTCCGTCTGAAATGCATGAGATACGCCCGGAATCCTTATATGAAAACGCGTTTAGAAGCAAGTTCTTCGAAAGATATCACTGCTTATAAGCGGGGGAGGCTTATATTAGGGATGCTTATAACCGGGGAATACCGTACTGTTTTATTACGTTGTTTGCGAGTGTCTGCTCTATTACAGTAAGTCTGCCCTCGACTTTTTGCAAATAATATTCTATGCCATTCTGCTTTTCCAGGATGCTCCTTAAAAAGTGTGTTATTTCTGTAATGAGGTAAGAGTTTATAAAACATATTTTAAGTATAATATAGAGAATAGCTAACCGATCTTGCTTCCTGTTTAGCGTTCTTGCACGATGTGGGACCCTCTGCATGTAATAAATTTGGAGATAGTTTACGATTTGCATATATCTATATGCATTTATAACTATACAAAAAATTACCTTTATTCATTTCTTGGTATGCCCCCTTGGATGTCGTGGGGCCTTCATCGTAAATGTTGGTTGTTTCCCACCTCTTTTGTCTAATTCTAGTCTGGGAAAGAATATTTTTAGGTAAAGAATATTACCCAACTTTTAGTAAAATTTTTTTTTTTTTTTTTTGTTTTAGTAAAATTATACCTTATTGATAGTCGACATCGAAGGCTCAAAAATATTTTTTTGTGAATCCTTTAGAAAAATTATTTTATATAAAAAAGAATAGACTACATAAATGTATTTATGTCATTGAAAATAAAATCAAATAGATTTAAAAGTTTTTGCGTGTAAACAAATAAACGGAGTGCGTTGTAAAATCGACTACTGCACCGAGTATGAGCCCTAACACTTTTTTAGAACTGTTAAACAGTTGTAGTCCATCGATTCCTATATCAATTAAAATTTCTGTGGATTGTTCTAATAAACTTAAAGAAACTGCTTCAAAGTGTTTTTGTATACCTAAATATACAGATTCGCCATCTGGAGTAGATCGCACTTCAACTTTCTTTTTATTTGTTCCTAAAAGTGTTTTTGCTGACAAAGGTATGTCTTTGAGGCCTATTTTGTGCTACGTATGCAAGAAATCGGAAAGCACACTTTGAGAAATTTTGCTCCTTATAGCAAAAGCCTTTAATTCTACGCACTTGTCCCTATTATAGGAGCCCAAATTTATGGTTTCATTTTCGAAATCTACAGCCCTAAAATCTTCATCACTATAGGGACTGTGGCTCACTGGGCTAAGTGTAGCGCGCACATTTTGGTCAATGGGAGTATTTATGGTCATTGGACCAGAAGCATCAAATATCACTTCCTCCCAAAAAGAGTTTATAGCTGCTGGACTGCAAGTCCCACTTATATCGTTTGCATTGACACAATTTGTGGCCACAGGACAAGAATCACCACACTGATCACTCAAAACAACGCACTCCGCTTTGTATCGCTTTGCATTTTGCAAAAACCTATGCTTTTCTAAGCTCATATAAGTTTGAAAGCTTTTTTATTCATTTTTTAATTAAAATTTCCTTTTTTCACCTTTTTTACGCACAGGACGCAGCACAATTTTATGAAATTCACTTTTGTAATGGCGTGCCAAAATGCTTTTTGACACTTGTGAACAATGTTGCCATTTTCAAAGAAATTTGTCAAAATAACTTTACTATTTCTAACATGAAATGTTCAAATATACACATACTAGCTAAACCCGCGGGTTTCACCCCACGTTTTTATACAAATATGAAAAATAATTTAATGATGTTATATTTTATTTCTGTGCCCGTTTCATTATAGCTCGTTATTTTCTAAGTGTGTTAAGGTATTTAGGCCGTTTAAAACTATGAAATTATAAAATCTCGTCTGCGCGCTAGGCATACGAAAGATATCAATCCCTCTAAGTTTACCTTAAAATGGTTCCAGGTATACGACGCGTGAACGTGTAACATTCTTGGATGTGCCACGACGGGTTCTAATATTTCCAACTCAAATTTAGTAACCTGGCCTTGATAAAATACCACTTCCCATTACTGTAGCAAATGCCTCAAAAGAGCTTTAGATTATAAGACCGAACCCGGCTCTCCCGTTTCCATTAAATGAAATTTATTCGGTCAGTACGGCACTTATAAAATAAATCTCCATAACAAATTTAAAATACTTCCAGAGAGTATGTATGGGAGGCGACATACCTCCTTTTTAATAACTCACATTTTTTCCCATGAGCAATTGATACATTTTGTATACACAACTCCATACCAAGTTCCAGTATTCTTCCACAAACACTTCCAGGGATATGTGGCAAAAAAAGTAAATTTGAACTGGAATTGCCACGCCCCTTTTTCTTATAACCCTAATCTTCTTCCATGAATTTAGAATTGATTTTACATACCCCAGTACTAAGTCCCTATACTCTACCATGAACACCTCTAGAGATATGCAGTATAAAACAGTAAATTTGTACGGGAGGAACCATGTCCCATTTTCGAATAACGCAAATTTTTCTCCATGAGTATGGAATTAATTTTGTATACACATCTCGGTGCCAAGTTCCAGTCCTCCGCAATAAACACCTCCAGAGATATGCAGCATAGAAAAATCAATTTGCATGGGAGTTGCCACACTACCTTTTCCAAAAACTCTCATTTTTCTCCATAAGTATGGTATTAGTTTCAGATACATATGTATTTCCATACCAAGCTTGAGTACTTTACCCCAAACATTTGAATATGACCAAACTTTACAATATAAAACTTTCAGTCAGTATGGGAGGTGCTACGCTTCTTTTCCAAAAACGTCAATTTTTCTCCGTTAATATGAACACGTTTTCACGCAGTGTTGGCAAAATGTTAATCTAATTAACGATTAAAAATTAACGATTAAAATGTTAATCGCGTTTGACGATTAAAATTAATTAGTCGTAATCAACTGTACGATTAATGATAACATTTTTTTAATCGTTAATCGCTGGTCGCGATTACGTTTAATTATTTCTAAACATTAACCGTTAATCCAATTAAAAATAAAATCTGATTAAGTTGTCTGGTTTGTCCGAATTTGAAACCAAACACCAGCTGTAGTAATTATTTTGTGTTTTACGCTTATAAAAAGCACATAATATAAAACAATTATAACTATTGTTATTAGTAATACATAAACTGGGAACTTTTACAAACCTAGTTAGTAATCATGATTAACTGTAATCAGATTGAATTTAATCGAATTAACTAACTGATTAAAACATCAATGGATTAATGCCAACATTGATTTCACATACATATCACTATACCAAGTTTCAGTACTCTCCCACAAATACTTCCAGAGATATGTATGTAATATGAAAACTCCAATTTGTATGGGAGGGGCCTTGAGTTATCGGACTTATCGGACCCTCCGAAATCCGTAGTAAGTGTACTAAATTTCGTTCTGATCGGAAAACCGGTTAAGGAAGTAGCCTATTTGTCAATCCAGGTCATAAACCATCTTTGAGCAAAATTTCATTTTCAAACAGGTGGCAATTCTTAGAAAAGTAGCCTATTTCCCAATCTAGGTCATAAGCTATCTGTGTGGAAACTTTCATGCAAATCAGTTCAGTTATTTAAGCGTATTAATTTAATTAAACTTTTCTTATACGTGACAACTCTTAAAATAGTAGCCCATTTTCCAACATAGGTCATAAGCTATCTCTGTGCGCAATGTCATGCAAATCTGTTTAGTCGTTTCCGCGTATTAATTTAATTAAACTTTTTTAACAGGTGGCAACTCTTCCAAAAAATTATCCTATTTTCCACTGTAGGGCATAAGCTATCTGTGTGCAAATTTTCATGCAAATCCATTCAGTCGTTTCCGCGTATTAATTTAATTAAACTTTTTTAACAGGTGGCAACTCTTCCAAAAGTTATCCTGTTTTCCACTGTAGATCATAAGCTATCTGTGTGCAAATTTTCATGCAAATCCATTCAGTCGTTCCCTCATATTAAATAAATAATACTTTTTTAACAGGTGGCAACTACTAAACAGATAGCCTATTAACCAATCTGGCCCATAAGCTATACGTGTACAAAATTTCATGCAAATCCGTTCAGTCTTTACCGCGTGATGATTTCCCAAACATCCAAACATACAAACTTTGACATTTATAATATTAAATTAAGATATTAGTAAGATAACTAAATTTTAACTAGAATTTAGATATGTGAGTATGTAACAATTAATATTTTACGTTTTGAGAACAAAATTATTAGTTTCCTTTACTTTTTAATCTTGGTATTCGAAAAAAAATTTTATTTTATAACATGATATCGGCAACACTAGTTTCACACTTGTCATAAATATGCGCAACTTGTTGTCTCGTTCTATCTTGCAGAGTTGTAGCATAATAAAAGTTTGGCGCATAATTCAAATGAAGGAGTCTAAAAGAGCAAGATGTCACTTATTAAAACAAGTGTCAGTTAAATTTATATGTATTAGTGTCAAATCCAAATTTTGTAATTGTGTTGGAGTTTCAGGTAGTCGCTTCTTGCTGGTAGGTTTCACTGCAAAAATTTTAAGACTGTGTGGTAGGGTTTATATATGTAGTCATGTAAAAAATAATAGGGATACGACATTTTGACCAGTTTTGGCTATTATTCTGTTTAATGTGTACTATTTTTTAAAATAATACAGTTCATTATCTAACAAAAACCGTATAAGTCCATATTTCAAACTTAATAATAATAATAGATTGGCGCTTAGACATATGTTAGTGTTTGGCTGAGCTTTTCCTCCGATTTGTGGCGTGCGCCTTGATGTTGTCACACAGAGCGGAGGGACCTACAGTTTTACGCCGACTCCGAACGGCGATTTTATTTTTATGAGAAGCTGTTTTTCATGGCAGAAATACACTCGGAGGTTTGCCATTGCCTGCCGAGGGACGACTGCTGTTAAGAAAAAACCTTTTTCTATACTTTTTTCGATGTTGCTTTGACCAGGGTTTGAACCCTGGCGTTGCGGAGTGGAAGCGCGCACTGCTTACCACTACACCACAGCGGCCGACATATTTCAAGCTTAGTGGGCTTTATTATTGTAATAAAATAATAAAAACTAAATAAACAAAAGAAAAATAGCCGAAACTGGTTCAAATCTCGTGCCCCTATTATTTTTCACATGACTGATAAAAATTGTATCCCGATATATCCATTAAAAGTATTTTTGGCCTCTCTCCCCCTATAAATGCAACTACTGCACGCGTTGTTTTAAGCCTGGTTGCGAAAAAAAGAAATGGTATATTTAAGGATGTATCTATCTATGCAAG